CCAGAGCCAGATGTATGTTTTCCAGTTGGTTTTCAAAACTCGTAAAATTTACATTTTCATTTTAGTAAACACACTGATGTTAGGAAAGCCAGAAAAAGGAAAACTTGTTGAGAACATGATACTGAGAATGGCACAGATGGGCCAGATAGGCAGTAAAATTGGAGAGAAAGAGCTTATTGGCATATTAGAAAGTGTTAATCAACAAATACCCCAAAGCAAAACATCAGTGAAGTTTGATAGAAGAAGGGCAGCTTTAGACTCAGATGATGAAGACTTTTAGCAATATAATTTTTACTATTCAAACAATATAATGTAAATATTGTGTTAACTGCTTTTTTACTAAGTTAATTGTCAGTATACTACAAATTTTTCAAATAAAGTGGCTTATAAATTAATCTCTGATGTAATTTAATTATGATAGGTTCGTGATTTCACTAAGCATTGTATTTTGAAGTACAAAGAGTATTAAATCCAAATTTTGAAATTTAGCTATTTCCTAAATTAGCAATTAGCGATAACGTTATCGGGTTGCTGAAACACTACATTACATAATAAAATGAAGACAAGTTAACCTACAAAATGAATGTAACAATACATAAGATATTTAAGAGTAAATTAGTGGTGAAACTAAAACAATTTCGTGAAAAAGCGTTTAGTCCTAAATATTTACTGTATTCTAATGTGGCAATTTCAATATCATTGTCAGCAACTGGAGACGTTTTCGAACAGCACTACGAAATTTTGAATGGGAACCTCAAACAATGGAACCCAACAAGAACCACACACTCAGGGATATCTGGAATGTCAGTGGGGATCCTATGTCATCACTGGTATAAGTTTTTAGATTCTAAATTGCCAGGTCATAGTATTCGGACTGTAGCAAAGAAGGTTGTTGTTGATCAATTAATTTGTTCGCCATTGTGTATCACATCTTTCTTTTTAACATTCGCTGTATTAGAGGGGGCAACGATAGGAGAATTCGTCGAGGAAGTTAAACAGAAAGCGTGGAGACTGTATGCCGCAGAATGGGTTATTTGGCCCCCTGCACAAGTAATAAACTTTTATTACCTCCCCACAAAATATAGAGTGCTTTATGACAACACCATTTCTTTAGCTTATGACGTTTATACTTCTAGAGTAAAATTTGATACTTGACTACAATGCGATTAGCTAATAATTAATAATTAAATTAAAAACTGTAACAGTGCAATAGGATTTCATCAGAGTGCCTCAAGTTCTAGTAATAGAAAAGCTAAACTGTGAAATTGTCTAATTTATAGTGAAGTATATTTTTATACAAACATTTACTAACTTTTTGTTAATCATTAAAATAATGATAAACAAAAAGAATGTATTTTAAAAAATAATAACTAATTACATTCTCGTTTATCTTTTAATCTTTGTAGCTGCAGCTATACTTTCACTATTTTTATATAGGCACAGATCCAAAAAACACATTGCAATCATTAAAGAATGCCCTAAAAGTTCTTTGTGAACTGAAGACGAGTCATAATAATGTTTCTTGAAACTCTTATCCACAATCACTGGGGTACAGGGTAAACTATTTTTAGAATTATCAAAGACTGAGGAGATAATCGAAAGACTAGAGACCTTCTCTGTACCAACAAGGATTCCAAATAATCTAAATGATAAAGAAATATAATATATGAAGCACAAAAGAAACCTATAACTTACTTAGCTGACAGTTTAGATTTTAAATAAAAAATGCTATTAGTGTGTTTAATATCCGTCTTAGAATTAGCAGTTCTTGCATCAAGAAGAGCAATTAACATTGAGGAGAAAATTAATTGCTGATTGTTGTAATTGAGAGAAATTGACTTCTGATTCAAAGGGGCAGAACTTTCTGGTAACTCAAAAATATACAAGTCCCCTTCGGGAATTTCATTAATGACAGTTTTAACCTGAAATGTACCACATTAAATCACCTATTTAGTATACTGTTTTACTATTTACGTAGCGTAGAATATCAATTGGCAAATTTCTTTTTGGTAGCTGTGCAAACTCCAAAACGTCCCATTTATTTAAAACATTCCCTTCAGGAGACAATTTTGCCCAACTCACACCATTGGGTGCTAAATGTAGGCCAACAACCGATGACAATTTCTATAAACTCTATTACGTAAGATTAAATAGAAAACAGAGCGATTCATACTTGCTTTTAATTTTTCTTGGGTCAGAACAGGAACAAGAAATTGTTTTCGGGTTTTAGGGGTCTGAACGTTATTGTTTTTTAAAATTGTATCATTTTTATCTACATCTAATTTTGCATCACTTAAAAACCGTTTAAGTCTATCTTTAACATTATTTCTTACTAACTTTATCATTGTAAACTTAAAAATTAATAATTAACTAACTACTTTCTTGCATTATTGTACTTTTTCCTTATGTTGTGAAATTTGGTTATAATCATAGATAGTTATTATAACCATCGACGTTTACTAATATATGTCTATGATTATAACCATTGATAAGGAATAACTGTCTCATCTATTGTCTCTAGTCATAGTCTTATCTATGGTCATAGAAGTCACTTGCTCATTGATTTATTTAATCTATGGATTTCTTATAATGTAATATCCATTGAAGTGGAGGGGATTATCTGTAGTCTAGTTCAATGGTAATATCAACTTATCTATGAAGTCAACCACAGAACAGTCAACCATAGAATAGTCAACAAACGTCAACTTGACAACTCCTGCGTTTAACCTCATTTTTAATGAGTTGTAGGTGTGTACCCCGAACTTTTTAATTATTTTAGTTTATCCCAAACATTCTGCAAACAAAATTACCTGAGCATGATTCTTGGGTGTTACCGCAACATTTACAAAGTAATACTTGAAGGAAGAGCAATAACATGAGTAAGAATTCAAACGTTGAAAAAGTTATCAGCCAAATAAATTCAACTAACACGAAAAAAGTAGCTGTGTTGTTTGTGATCTGTTTTACACTTTATCATGGATTTCTTCATTTTAGATATGGTATGATTTACAAATACTATCTATAGAAAAAATCATACATATACAACTATTACCTTTTATACATAAAGTTACTTGTTTTGAAATTTTAGATGTTTTTTATTTAAGGCATTGACTCATGTAGTTGGCTTCTATCAGATGGTAGGTATAAAGCAAATAAGGAATGGCAGCCCTATGGGTGCATGTTACATCGATACAGTCAAACGTAAGAAACGGACCTTTAACTTTTGTCTTTAAACGTAAATAGAATCTTTGTAGAGATACAAAAAGATGTCTGAGATATTTAGCTTTTTATGGCACATATTCCTATTTTGTTTTTATTGGAGATTCAAGAATAAAACAGCTTTATTTAGGATTTGTTGGTCATTTAGATAAGAAAGGAGGCAGCTTTCACTTGGAGGCACAAAACATGAGCAATTTAACACATGTTGATAATAAACTCAAAATAAAAATGGAGTTTTTATGGTATCCATACATATCACCTGAATTAATGAACACATATAGGTATGTTTGTAAGATACTTTCGTAAAAAAAGAAGGAAAAACCTGCATTATTGTAAAAATAAGGTAAAGATACTTTTCTTTTAGGAAATGGCAAAAAATTAATAATCGTCCTTCACTTATAGTAACAGGTACCACTATTTCTACGGTAGCAAATTATAACAAGTCAAATGAAATAATAGACGAATATGTATATAATTTAACGACGTTAGTTCGGCAGATGGACCTATTACAGAAACTTAAAACTAATGTACTTTGGGTTGTACAGCCACCTATTAATACAAAAACATTAAGGCCAGAACAAATCAATATGATTACTAATGAAAAAATTAATTTATTCAACACAGCTTCATTGGAAGTACGTACTATATTAAAACATGTATTACCATATTTTTATTATAATAGTTAGTTTTTCGACCCATAGGACGTCTTCAGGGCTCTTTAGGAACAGAAGGAATCCCTGAGGATGTCTGATGTTGTCTTAAACACCGTTAAGAGTCAATAGCTTCAAAAACCTCTGCTGGCATATTACTATGTTTTTAGGTTTTAAATGTAAACTTATAAAATATTTCAGGTCTTGACTTATTCATCAGTTAAAGTTTGGCGTAGCTCTTATCTGGTGAGTGAAGGGATGATAAGTGAAAGTCCCGATGGGATTCATTTGGCGACCAGAGCGTTAAACCATAACATTCAAATCCTTTTAAACATGTACTGNTATTATATTATTTAATTATATCAAAATATTCAAATTTACGTATGTGTAAAATCTTACCTGTTGTTGTTTAGGCTGCCCGCAATACAGAAGATGGAAAAGGGAGGGGAGGGAAGGTGCATTTTTCTGAATTTTCTTTTCCAAGTCAAAACCTGCAAAAGAAGAAAATCTTGTTAATAACAACATTACATTTTTGTATACACAAATTAACTAAATCGATTTATCGATTAGTTTTTGTTTTGGATAAAATAGGTTCGGTTATGTCGTGAAACTGGTAATGAGAAATCTAGAAAAATAAACGGTTATTAACATTACAAGATGCGTACCTAACATAATATACTACACGTAGAAAACGTTTCGACATGTATTTTTTATGTACACTCACTTTTAAATGAAATATTTGCAAAAATCGCGAAGAAACATCTACGCCACGTAAAAACTAGACGCCATGTTGGAAATTGACGTTTTACGAGATCGACCAATTTCTCAACGCCGACTTTGCCAATGTTAACATGGAATATTTGAATAATTGCATTTACCATCAAACAATAAAACAATTACCGAAAAATTGATTTCAATTTAATATTTGCCAAACAAATTAAATAAAAATCCGTATTATACATATGTAGGTACGTTAATTCATTTAACATTACTCTTTTGTTTCGTTTATTGAATTGGTAGACAAATGCAATGGTAAAACAAAAGGGAGTAATAAAAATAACAAATGAATACCCAGTAGGTACACCTATTTGCAGGGTGAAAAAAAAATAAGAAACAAGAGAAAATAAATTCTGCTTTTTGCTTCTTATTTAGAGCACGTTTCAGTGCAAGTATATGTCAATGTCGTTTAAAGGAAACACACGCATACCTCGAATTAAAACAAAAGTGGCACGGAGATGTGCTTTTAACGCGAATAGCTGGTTATTAGTCAAAAATACTGTGTACAAAAGACGCAAAATATGTACTTGTAATGGTTTCTGCAGCACGACGGCATTTTCCTAAGATTTCACGGATACCAATATGTTTACGCTGCTCCTGACAGGATATACAACACACATTAATCAACTGTAACACACGTCGAATTGTTAATAACATTGCAAACGTTCTGGGATCAAAACCAAGCAAGGTCAAAAAATTATATTATTTTTATTAAATAACTCTACAGACAACCAATTAATAGAGATACACATACTCATACACATATAAACCCGTTTAACAAGGTTAACAAAACGGAGGACTCTTTCTATTGCTTAATTTTAACAGTAACTGTAGATACACATTACTATAAAAATATTTGGTAAAGTTGTATAAAAATATATATAAAATTCAGTCTTGTTAAAAAATACCGTCATATACATATTAGTATTACATATTACATTATTCTTTAGTAGCTCATTAATTAACTCTAATTTTAAGTTAATAATCTTACACACTTACAGTGGACAGCAAAAATTACTGTTAATATATAGAAATACATAATTTTAAAATAAAACATACAATATTTGTACTTGCATAATATAATATGTAAATAAATTCCTTTAAAAGTGATTAGACTAATCGAATTTATTAAAAATTAAAAAGACCGAATAATATTAATGGTAACGCAAAGGACGCACAGAAAACACCACGCAATAACGAAATAAATCCACTTATTACCTTTGAAAGGGCTAGAAAATTTGTTGGCAATCGCCGACCCTAAATCAGCCTTGCAACGTTGCCTGGCGCAATAAACCAACGTTGCCGGAATTACATATTGTATTCCTGCGCCTGCGTAAGCGCCTGTGAATCCCACGAGCATTTTTAAATCGTGCGTGACAAACGCCAAAACAATCGGGGGTAATATCGCAACAGTCGGAAACAAAAGACGTCTCAAAACAAAGTTATACGTCTCGATTCGTTCGACGTCTAAAAATAAAGCTTTCAGGTTGCTCTGCAACGTTATCGCAAGTATTGGAAAACTAGAAGATAATGTGAAAACGGGGAATAACCCTATAAAATAGCCCATCACCTTATACGCAAAACTATCGTTGGGATTTGGGATAAAATTCAAAGTGTACAAATCCTGTACAACACTAAAAGCAAAGATACCCGTCAGGGAGAGGAGGAGATAAAAGATGGCAATTATTACCGTGTCTAAAGCAATGTGCTTGTTGACGAGTTCTTTTTTGGCCAAGGGCCCTACGAGACCGGGAAGCGAATGATGACACATGAAACTGTACACTGTGGCGCCTAATAAGGCCGGTGTCCCTATGAGACTCGCCTGTAGCGGAAACCCCCGCCTACCATAAAGTGTCAATTCGAAAATTGAATACACTATCATGAGAAAAAAGGCCGTTCCCCTAAGTATTACTGTAAAAATTTGTAAATAAAGCATCTTTTTTACATGGAAAAACGAAAACGGACCAATAAGTCCTATAAATACTATCAGCCAAACATGATAAACTTTCTCTTTGGCCATTGGGATTGATTCACTGCAAACATCTGCAAATGTAATGTTAGTGCTGTTGATTCCACACGTAATGTCTGTCAGAGTCTGTCCTATGGCTGCAACGTATATGCTCAAGTCTCCGTATAAATAAACGCATAAAACAATGTAAAACAATACTTGACCAGTTCTGTTGTAATACAATTTGGCAATTTGTCCCAATTCGAACTGCTTGGTCATTGAATAGAAACGACCAGTAGGTCTATAGATTATTGCAGTTTCTTCATTCACATCCACTTCTTCTGCCTCATCTGAATCAAGATATGCCTCGCACTCCTACAATTGTACGCCATTATGCCCCCTTGTACCCTCCAGTACTTAACATATTAGAAATTACCTCATCAATTTTGTGGGACTGTATATATCTCCATGTATGTGTCGCATTTGCGCAGGCAATACTTTCAATCACAAAAGTGCTGTTGATGTAACTTGCAAATGCAAAGATCACAAGCAAAATTGTTCCTAAAACCCATCCTCCACTGTAAAATCCAGCAGGGAGGGTCAGGGCTCCAGTACCAACGATTAAATTAAAAATGTACACTAAACCAGCCTAAAATAAATAACTTGGTAGAAGTAGGGACTTAACATTGTTAATTTTATTATTACCAATGTAGAATAGGTGGTAACCTGTCTTGTTTGATTCGGCATTATTATTATTCAATCACAATTGCAATCTTAACTTTTGTTCCATATGGTTTTGATTAAAATATAGGTATGTATAATAATGCATATGCTAATACATTAACATTAAAATAAGTAGTAGATTACTAACTGAATAACCATATCTAGTGTTTTCTAATGTTCTGTTTTGCTGGCACATCAAAATTTTTATTTTAAAACACTAATTGTAAGATAAAATTCAATTCATAATCATAATTACCATTAAATGATAACATACAACGATTTTACGCTTATCAAAAACTAATTACAACCTGATTATTTCAATGAATGTTTATGTTTATATTTATATTCTTATTTAGGTTAATATTTGCCCATTTCTAACAAAATAGTACAGTACACAAAAAAAAAAAAACAGATCTTGAAGTAGGAAGCATATTCTTTGTAAAAGCAAATTGAAACATTACGTTTGTCTGTCAGATAAAGTTGAAATTAAAATAAAATATGCCTCAAAAGAATTAACGAAAAAAAAGCAAGAAAAAATTAAATGTAAGTTAATTAGCACAAATAATACTTATTAGTGTACATATTTTTGTTCTGAAAATAAATCCTTAATAGGTGTTTTACTATAGGCAACTTCTTATGCATCTGTAATCGAATGTAGTCTACTTTGCATATTTAGGGAAATTTTACAACTTAACCTCAAAGAAACTTAATGCTGTTGACCTTTTATTATTTATTTAAAAATATAAGATCCTAGGGAATAATTAGCTTGTAATTAATTATGGGAGATGCAGAGCTGGAAGAAATTCGTAGAAGAAGACTTGCCCAATTGCAGTCACAATTTAAGGTATTGTAGAACTGAATCTCTATTCTTTTAAAAAAGTAATTATATTCCTTTATCGATGAAATTTAAGGGTGGTGAAGGAGAGTCAAAGCAAAAAGCTCAAGAAGAACAGTTACGAGCCCAAGAAGAAGTAAAAAATTCAATCCTGTCTCAAGTACTTGATCAATCAGCCAGAGCCAGATGTATGTTTTCCAGTTGGTTTTCAAAACTCGTAAAATTTACATTTTCATTTTAGTAAACACACTGATGTTAGGAAAGCCAGAAAAAGGAAAACTTGTTGAGAACATGATACTGAGAATGGCACAGATGGGCCAGATAGGCAGTAAAATTGGGGAGAAAGAGCTTATTGGCATATTAGAAAGTGTTAATCAACAAATACCCCAAAGCAAAACATCAGTGAAGTTTGATAGAAGAAGGGCAGCTTTAGACTCAGATGATGAAGACTTTTAGCAATATAATTTTTACTATTCAAACAATATAATGTAAATATTGTGTTAACTGCTTTTTTACTAAGTTAATTGTCAGTATACTACAAATTTTTCAAATAAAGTGGCTTATAAATTAATCTCTGATGTAATTTAATTATGATAGGTTCGTGATTTCACTAAGCATTGTATTTTGAAGTACAAAGAGTATTAAATCCAAATTTTGAAATTTAGCTATTTCCTAAATTAGCAATTAGCGATAACGTTATCGGGTTGCTGAAACACTACATTACATAATAAAATGAAGACAAGTTAACCTACAAAATGAATGTAACAATACATAAGATATTTAAGAGTAAATTAGTGGTGAAACTAAAACAATTTCGTGAAAAAGCGTTTAGTCCTAAATATTTACTGTATTCTAATGTGGCAATTTCAATATCATTGTCAGCAACTGGAGACGTTTTCGAACAGCACTACGAAATTTTGAATGGGAACCTCAAACAATGGAACCCAACAAGAACCACACACTCAGGGATATCTGGAATGTCAGTGGGGATCCTATGTCATCACTGGTATAAGTTTTTAGATTCTAAATTGCCAGGTCATAGTATTCGGACTGTAGCAAAGAAGGTTGTTGTTGATCAATTAATTTGTTCGCCATTGTGTATCACATCTTTCTTTTTAACATTCGCTGTATTAGAGGGGGCAACGATAGGAGAATTCGTCGAGGAAGTTAAACAGAAAGCGTGGAGACTGTATGCCGCAGAATGGGTTATTTGGCCCCCTGCACAAGTAATAAACTTTTATTACCTCCCCACAAAATATAGAGTGCTTTATGACAACACCATTTCTTTAGCTTATGACGTTTATACTTCTAGAGTAAAATTTGATACTTGACTACAATGCGATTAGCTAATAATTAATAATTAAATTAAAAACTGTAACAGTGCAATAGGATTTCATCAGAGTGCCTCAAGTTCTAGTAATAGAAAAGCTAAACTGTGAAATTGTCTAATTTATAGTGAAGTATATTTTTATACAAACATTTACTAACTTTTTGTTAATCATTAAAATAATGATAAACAAAAAGAATGTATTTTAAAAAATAATAACTAATTACATTCTCGTTTATCTTTTAATCTTTGTAGCTGCAGCTATACTTTCACTATTTTTATATAGGCACAGATCCAAAAAACACATTGCAATCATTAAAGAATGCCCTAAAAGTTCTTTGTGAACTGAAGACGAGTCATAATAATGTTTCTTGAAACTCTTATCCACAATCACTGGGGTACAGGGTAAACTATTTTTAGAATTATCAAAGACTGAGGAGATAATCGAAAGACTAGAGACCTTCTCTGTACCAACAAGGATTCCAAATAATCTAAATGATAAAGAAATATAATATATGAAGCACAAAAGAAACCTATAACTTACTTAGCTGACAGTTTAGATTTTAAATAAAAAATGCTATTAGTGTGTTTAATATCCGTCTTAGAATTAGCAGTTCTTGCATCAAGAAGAGCAATTAACATTGAGGAGAAAATTAATTGCTGATTGTTGTAATTGAGAGAAATTGACTTCTGATTCAAAGGGGCAGAACTTTCTGGTAACTCAAAAATATACAAGTCCCCTTCGGGAATTTCATTAATGACAGTTTTAACCTGAAATGTACCACATTAAATCACCTATTTAGTATACTGTTTTACTATTTACGTAGCGTAGAATATCAATTGGCAAATTTCTTTTTGGTAGCTGTGCAAACTCCAAAACGTCCCATTTATTTAAAACATTCCCTTCAGGAGACAATTTTGCCCAACTCACACCATTGGGTGCTAAATGTAGGCCAACAACCGATGACAATTTCTATAAACTCTATTACGTAAGATTAAATAGAAAACAGAGCGATTCATACTTGCTTTTAATTTTTCTTGGGTCAGAACAGGAACAAGAAATTGTTTTCGGGTTTTAGGGGTCTGAACGTTATTGTTTTTTAAAATTGTATCATTTTTATCTACATCTAATTTTGCATCACTTAAAAACCGTTTAAGTCTATCTTTAACATTATTTCTTACTAACTTTATCATTGTAAACTTAAAAATTAATAATTAACTAACTACTTTCTTGCATTATTGTACTTTTTCCTTATGTTGTGAAATTTGGTTATAATCATAGATAGTTATTATAACCATCGACGTTTACTAATATATGTCTATGATTATAACCATTGATAAGGAATAACTGTCTCATCTATTGTCTCTAGTCATAGTCTTATCTATGGTCATAGAAGTCACTTGCTCATTGATTTATTTAATCTATGGATTTCTTATAATGTAATATCCATTGAAGTGGAGGGGATTATCTGTAGTCTAGTTCAATGGTAATATCAACTTATCTATGAAGTCAACCACAGAACAGTCAACCATAGAATAGTCAACAAACGTCAACTTGACAACTCCTGCGTTTAACCTCATTTTTAATGAGTTGTAGGTGTGTACCCCGAACTTTTTAATTATTTTAGTTTATCCCAAACATTCTGCAAACAAAATTACCTGAGCATGATTCTTGGGTGTTACCGCAACATTTACAAAGTAATACTTGAAGGAAGAGCAATAACATGAGTAAGAATTCAAACGTTGAAAAAGTTATCAGCCAAATAAATTCAACTAACACGAAAAAAGTAGCTGTGTTGTTTGTGATCTGTTTTACACTTTATCATGGATTTCTTCATTTTAGATATGGTATGATTTACAAATACTATCTATAGAAAAAATCATACATATACAACTATTACCTTTTATACATAAAGTTACTTGTTTTGAAATTTTAGATGTTTTTTATTTAAGGCATTGACTCATGTAGTTGTACTTATAAAATGAAGAAA